CTCATCTTTTTCCCTATAAAGCAGGCAGGAGACATTATGTTTTTTGATGATGCTTTTATCTTGGTATATTTTAAATTATAAATAAATCTGAATAAATTTAATTATTAAAATATGTGGAGACTATGTCGGTATACGAGTATTATGTTATTCAGTTTCAGCCTCTTAAATGTGTAAGATGTAAACGAAACTGAATTATTATAATAAACTAGTAGGTATTATGTTATCTGTAATGTACTAAAAGCACAAATCCCCATTTCGCTTTTTTCTTGACGAAAAGTTATCTTTGAAATCTATATCAAGAATATATATATAATATATATATATATATATATATATATATATATATATATATATAGGTCATTAAAGTTTGGTAAAAAAAATCGATGATGTAGGTACTGAAATGGTAACAATATTAGGTACCTAACTATAACCTAATATTGTTACCATTTACATAAATGGGATCTATATTTTGACATGTCGGCGAAGAGAAATTATTGGTTTACCTAATGATTTATTACATCTGTGTGTAAAACTGTATTTAAGACACGTTTCAACTTTTTTTTTAACATTTATATATAAAATCGTTTGTACTGATTCATTAACACAGCCTAATCTAATGGGAGTAAAAGCTTGAAATTTTGACAGTAGACGCATTTCATGATGTAAATATAACCTTAAGAAGGATTTTTAGAAATTCCATCCCTTAAAGGAGTAAATTAAGGGATGAACGGTGGTATGGAAACCTGTAATTTCAACAATACAAGCATGAATAAAGCCTATAAAAAGCATGGTTATTAAATTCAAATTCAAATTCAAATTCAAAAATCATTTATTCATGTAGGACATTTTAGCCGCTTATGAACGTCAAATTTTTACATTATAATTTTATATTTACCCTACCGTCCAGTTCGGTATATAGATCCAATTGAGAAGAACTGGCAAGAAACTCAATTGAATTACTTTTTTTTTTAAAGCCAGTTTATTTACAATGTATATTTATATAGGTGTCTATGTCTAACATTAAATGAAAATTCAGTGCATGAACAACTATTGCCATGCACACTCGTCATTCAAGTAATCGTTTAGTGAGTAATAGGCTTTGCTCAGTAAATATGATTTAACAGATGTTTTGAATTTATTTAAGTGTAATTCCAACATATCCTTTGGTATCTTATTGTAAATTTTTATACCTATTCCCATAAAAGACCTATTAACTTTTTCTAAACGATACTTGGGGACAGCAAGTTTGTCTTTAAATCTAGTATTAATATTATGAATATTGCTGTTTTTTGGAAATAAGTCAAGATTTTTATGAACATATAGAATATTTGAATATATAAATTGAGAAGCAACGGTGAGAATATTTGCCTCTTTGAATTTCTCTCTTAATGAGTCACGACTCTTCATACAGTAGATCGCTCGAACGGCACGTTTTTGTAATATGAATATATTCTTAATATCTGCCGCTTTTCCCCATAGTAATATTCCATAAGAGAGTAAACTATGAAAATAACTAAAATAGACTAATCTAGCAGTATCAGTATCAGTGTACTGTCTAACTTTACGCACGGCAAAAGCTGCTGAACTTAGTTTCGCTGCAAGGCTTTGAATTTGTGCACCCCATTGTGTTTTATTATCTAGTGTGATTCCTAGAAAGACAGTAGATTCTATAAATTCGAGAGATTCGTCATTTAATTTAATATTGCAATTAGTATTAAAACTTTTAGATAGAGAGAAATTAACACATTTTGTTTTTTTAGCGTTTAACATAAGATTGTTAGTTGTAAACCAGTGCAGGAGACGCCGCAAAGCACTATTTACATCGTCATAAAAAAATGCCTTGCGAAGTCGGGATGAGACATTAGTTTTTTTTTTCTAACTGTACCTATTGTCTCACTGACATTTCTTATTATGTGCATTACATTTATTATTATTTATTATTTACACGATTTATTTTGAACCAAATAGATTGGAATCCAACGAGAAGAGACTCGTGTACACATAAGTAACACGAGCTAAGTGCGTTATTTGTAAAGTATAGACATCCAATACGCGTAAACTCAACCTCAACCCCTCAGTGCACAGTGCTAACTCGACAAAAGCTTATTGTTTGCGCAGGTGCGTTGGCGCACTCTTGGTTCTACCAATTATCGTTTGAATAATGCGTAAAGGAATCTTAAGGACCTCTACTAAAGTCGTGCATATTATATAGAAACTTTATTATCGTATAGATCGTTCATATATTTTTCATTTTTGTAATACTTAAGTATAGGTTCTTCAAGTAGGATCTTTAATATTAAAGTATGAATGTAAAACTACAACTGAATTTGCTTACATCCATTGCAAATGGAACCAATATTCTAATTTGATTTGATAGCCTGCGGCTTCGACCATATGAATTACCATAATAATGTCTTCTGTCCTATTTACAAAATTAATCTAGGATTTAGTCGATCTGTCTATCAAGAGTCATTAAAATACGTATCTGTGGTCATGGTTATATCAATAGTAATTCTTTATTATCTTATGGCTATTTTCAAAATAATTTAGACTGCAAACCCCCCGCTCCAGCCACTCCTCTGGGTGACGTTCGAGCGGGTGGTCGTGTGAGTCGCATTGTGACATATTATTGTCTATTATTTTCTACACCTGCCTATCATACCAGGAGATTGTGCTCGCAAAAAACCGATTTCAAGTAAGGCAAAACTGGTTATTATGATTTAAAAACTAAACTACTAAACTGATTCTAATAAAAATTCCATGTGACTAATTTGTAAGTATAACCTATTAGATAAAAAACGAATTTTCCAAATCGGTTCACTTGTAAGTGACAAGGTTATGAGATAATAAACAAATACAACGAATTAAGAACCTCCTTATTTCTGAAGTCGGTTGATAAATGTGTTTGTTTATTAGTTCGTGATGTCTTTATAGCGACGATTCAAGTAAACATCATTCCCGCCTGCGCTATCGGGATACGCTGGCAAGGCACCAGTGAAGGATGATAGGTGAGGATGAAGCAGGTCAGTTGGCCCATCGTGACGAATTCAACAAGAATTGTTCACGATGGTTTCCAGGGGGAACCACGTGGAGATCGACCTAATAGGGCATATTGCTAGCAATGGGGCTGTCAAACCCCATTGCTAACAATCCCTTTCCCCCAATATTAATATTTGATACGAGTATCTGACATGAAGAATATAGGTTACTTTTTATCCTGGTCAATCAATCATCATCATATCAGCCGTGAACTATTTACTACCGAACATAATCCTCCTATTTGGGGGTTTTGCCAGCAGTTGATAATTGTTATAAAAATATTTTTGTCATTGATAACTATTAGTATTATTTTTTCTTTATCTTTCTATAACTTTCCAATATACCTACTCGATCGTAAATAATAGAAAATACCTAAGTATTGCAATATTTATGTATAAATTTACAGTATTTTAATGCATCAGGCATTATCACGTCAATGATTATAAATTATGGTATCGAGGCAATTTAATTACACATGCCTTTAATTCACTAATATACCTACACCTCTGTAATGATGGAACAAGCTTAGTTCTAATTTAGTATATTCTTATTATAGTAGTACCTAATTGGCTTCAGTCTTTGACCGATAGATTGTTGCCAAAACAATTAAAATTTATGTCTTTGACTTGGCAGTTACAAGTAGGTACCAATCTGCTAGTAGCATATTAACAGACCAAAATGAAATGTGGTGTTTATATCACATGACAGACAACACAACGTCATGTGGTAAATATACTGAATTACCTACCAACTTTTATGTATGTGAATAAAATCTATTTATAAAGTTGACGTCGGCTCGCTCCACATTCTTATCTCGACGTTATACTCTAAAGTCAAGTTAGTAATCTAACACAGATGTCAGATGTTACTACATGTATGTAGCAAAACAAGGGCTTATTACGAACCGGTCCAGTTCATGTTTATTTATGGACAAGATTCACTGAGTATGCCTTTATATGGATTTATTAGACATTTGCATTCAAAGTATTCTCTTATTAACTTTAAGTATCTATATTGTAACAGTTCAGAAACGATATAAGCCACGTTTAAATATTTTTTTAATAAATTAATAAATAATTTACCTAAATAGTAGTAGATATGTCTCGCGTCTTGTATTAAGGCAGCCAGTATTAATACAACGCCAAACCCTTCGATTTTTAAAATCGTTCCACCACATACATCAATCTACTCGTATTCGTACAAGCTAACAGAGTGCTTAGTGTGAGTTGTATAAGATTTACGTTATGATTGCATTCACATGTACTGCGTTAGATTTGTGTGGAAATCTGAGTTTTCGAGATCATCCGCTAGAGGCGCAATTAAGTTTTCAATTCGAACTTACTGGCTACGAATAGGCATTTTCTACTTGGCTTACTTCAGCGTACAATCTGGTATTCTCTTTCAACGGTGTAGGTGTAATGTAATAAAAAAAAATCTTTTTTTTGAGTTTAATGCCTGAATTGAAATCTTGACTATTAAGCCTACTTTTTCTCGAAATGAATATCTTAAGGACACACTACTCCATTTTCGTTTTAACATCCATATTAATGGGGGGAAAGGGATTGCTAGTAATAGAGACTGAGAATCCCATTGCTAGCAATATACCCAACCAGGTCGACCTCCTCGCGGTTCTCCCTGGAAACTATCATGGTTAATTCTTGATGAATTCATCATGATGGGCTAACTGGCCTGTTTTCATTCTCATCTATCACCCTTCACTGGTGCTCCGCCAGCGTATCCCGTTAGCGCAGGCGGGGTTACCATACCATTTTCATCCATTGAAAAAAAAACATCCATATTAATATTATTACAGGTATACCCGCATATAATGTTATATTTATATCTACATAAACTTCAAATAGTATCTAATAGTAAGTCAACTACATATATAATATACTGTCATTAAATTTGGTTATACATTTTCTTAATCCATTTTAACAATGTTATTTTTTTGTCCACAGCGCGTCCGATGATCTCGGCTAGCCTCCCCGGCGAGGCGCTGCCCCAACTGGGGCAGCTGGGGCCCCTAAGCCACTTGTACCCGCCACCACCGCCTGCCGGTATGGCACCCGAGTTCCTCGCGCCGCCACCGCGGCCGTACGCCCGCTACGCGCCCCGGCGGCCTCGCGACGCCATGCCCGCGCCGCCGACTCCTGCACCGGCGCCCTTTCCATCTGTCCCTGCGTATGCACCGTTCCTCTCTCATCCATCTCCTTACACGTCGTATCTGTATCGAGCTCGAGCACCTCCTCAGCCACCTCCCTCTAACTACCCTCTACGGCCACGTCCCACTTCTGGGTTCGTGCCGCCAGCACCAGCACCCCATTCGCCACCTGTGTCGGCACCAGCGCCTGCACATCCACCCAGAGAGGTTAGTACTGTTAATCAAGCAATGATTTAAATACTTAATTTAAAAATAAGTAAGTAATAAAACATTACGGTCATTTAAATTGTGCACATATTAATCTGTGCCAACAAATGGTCTTTAGCCGTATGTTCCCGGTATAGAATAGGCCACCCCTTCCTATCCCATGGGTGTCGGAAGAGCCGCATGAGGGAAAGCAAAGGATGGGCAGCAGAGTCTCTCTCAAAAGATCTCTAAAGCCTAACTGCGGTTGCCAATCCGCTTGCCAAGCGTAGTAACTATTGGTAAACCCACCAAGGATTATGATCAGCAGTGGACAGTTAAAGGCTGATATGATGATGATGAAATGGCCTTTAGCTAAAAAAATAAAAAAAAAATTAAAAGGATTTAAGAGGTTTCTTCAAGGTAGGCAACGCGCGTGTAATGCCCCTGATATAGCAGGCGTTCATAAGCCATAGAAACTGCATACCATCAGCTCACCTGTGAGCTGTATGGTTATTTGCAACCTTGGTGGTATAAAAAAAAAAACAGTTAAACACAAGCAGAATTTTCTTCCGCGAAACTATATGACTCCAATCGTTACAAAATTCATATGGGACCAACACGGGAGTAAACAATAGAACTTTGGAATATGAATAGTCTATATAAAATATTCCAGGAGCCGCCGATGTCGCCAGAACGTGGTACTTCTGCTTCGCATTTCTGTCGAGGAGCGCTCATTCGGCTGGAGGACGGTTCATTGCGACGGGTCGAGGAGATGCGCGTAGAAGACTTCATGACAAGCGCAGAGAGGAACGGCGATTTGTCTGTTACACAGTGCACTGTGTTACGTCTTGACGAGCGGGGAGACAAGTTAGCCCTTACGCTCGTATACGACAGGAATCGGTCACAGGTGTGTGTACTTAAGTTGACATTTATCTTTTTTTTTTGTCTATGAAAATGGGCATGTTTGTGTGATAGATAGAAGGTACAGCTTGTCGAGTGTATAGCGGGGACTTAATAATTTCGAATGTAATCATGTTTTTAAATTAAAATCTAAGCAAATGTGGGAGATAAAAGTTCAATATTACATAAAAACTGTATAAACCAATATGAAACGTATAAAAAAAAGATATTATTGAAATAAAACAATTTCTATTTACGTATTGTATAGAAAACTTGTTTTCAAAGAAAACTAAGTCAGCATGTAAATTACTGAAACTGATCTAATATTTCACTAATATCGTTAATAACACATCGTTATGAATAAATGACTCCTTCAAGTATTATATCATAAAAACATCTTGAATGAAAATACACCTGTTCATAGAGAAATGCTTTCAAATTCTAGGTGGAATTAGAATATACCGCGGAGCATCCGTTCTTCGTTTACGGTCGAGGGTGGTCGTCGTACAAGCCGGAGCGTACACTGGCGCGGTACGGTCTGCGCGTGCAGAGGTTGCAAGTGGGCGACGTGTGCGTATCGCTGGTGCCACGTAAGCACGCGCCCACCGCGCCCGCCCCGGCGCCGGCGCTTCCCAGTCCCGCTCCCCCGCAGACGCACCCCGAAAACCTCAGCGTCAAAGAAGACGCCCGCAAAAGACGGTGGTCTGCGTCCGACGTCTGCGAGGACGACCGTCCGCCACTTAAGAAACGTTGAACGTGACCGTAACCCGTTGTCGCTACTTTTATGTGTAAGTTTGGAGGAGAACTATCTTGAATGTGATGTGATCGCCTTCGTTGCAAAAACTTTCGTTACGAACTTTGATATTTTAGTTTCAATATTTCCTGGAAGCGTTTGTGACAGGCCATCCGAAATGTCGGTAAATGGGTAATGTCACCATTTAAATGTAAAATACTTGATTAAAAACAAATGTAGATTGATGTTTAACGTATCCCAGTGAGTCACTGACCCCGTGTGTCGCCCGAGAGCGCGGGGTCGTTACCAGATTCTGCAGCGATCGGCAGTCCACAATCGTACGCTTATGATATTCTATTCGGGAACTCTAGGTGCTTTTTACTGTCGGGTGCTTCTGTACGCGTTCGTGTACGATGTTTGTAAATATGTATGTAACTTAGGTCAAAGTTTAACGTTACTACACTCCATGACTAAATTAATGTGTCACAAAAGTAGCATCGTTGTTATCGCTAAATGTGCTACGTCCCATCGGCATGCCGATTAGTACCATAGCATGTTAGTCGTATGTTATGGACACACGAATGTTAATGGAATGCACAGACAGTTTGTGCATTCAAAAATACTATAAAGTATTTTCTAAATGGAGTAACTAATTATCAATTGAGCACAAAATATCAATGTGTAAGTTTCTACCAGATCTTATAGTAGGTTAGATATTGTGATAACCATTGAGATTTAAATTGTCAGATATGAAACGGCTCCGCATACTTTAGACAAAGGTACAATGAATGTTAGTAGTAGTTAGTAGTAATGGGCTGACGTGTGCTTAACTCTTGACTGATTCTCGTCCTTCGTGTAGTCCGGTTTTATAAGTTTCTTGCAAGCAGTCAAGTCAAAGTTCCATTATCCTACAATGGTTGTGACTGCAAACATATCCGCCGACGTGGCGTCGGTTTACCCTCGGGATACAACGCAAGGGCATTCCTACGATTCCCAGTAGGTTTCCTTCATGGTAGTTGTAGACACAAGTGATAGATACTTCGCTGAGTAACAGTGGCAAATTCTTCTGACAAATAATATAATCGTATATACCTAAATAATATTAATGTTGATAATTGATATATATTGTAAAATAATATATGTAATATTCATGGTTATTAGATGTCATCTCTATTGGTTTTTGACGTCCATGTGTGATACACATAACTTTTCTATGAGAAGATGTATACATAATAAACACACAGTCTGTGATATTTTGTAGTTATTGATCAGAGTGGTATGAGGTATTGATTGAATAAAGGAAATGTATATGTTTTAGGATAAGTGAGTTATTGCTAAGAATAATGTTGTATACTCAAAAATAAATCGCTGAGAAATCTAATACTTAAAACAAATGTAAACAAGTAGCGTCTGTGATTAATATACATATATCGTTATGTGAAGTAACGACTAATGCATGGCCATATCAAAAATCAAATAATTTTTTGTATGTTATTGATAAGTAACTAAGCTTTTAATTTGGGTTTGCCTGATAATCTTGTCAAAATTATTTTTTCACAATGTATTATGACGATTGCATTCATTTGTAGCAGTTATTATAAGTCATGGAACACTGTAATGTTATATAGTGTAATTAAGGTAGAAGGTCGCAAAATCGGTTGCTATAGTGAAAAATTCATTATTAACCGTGACTATGCCACTTTTGAATAATATAATATTTATAGAAAATTTGCCATAGTCCGCAGCAAACGAGTAATATTTTAGTGAATTTGCCAAATATCGCGGAGTTTGCCCGTTAAGAAACGTAACAAAAAGGGAATGGATCGTTGAGTTTGATAAATGTTAGTTTCATTGTACCGCAACTTGTTTCGAGCTTATATTGGTACGTTCAATATTAATTGACTACCACGGGAAACGCCTCGCCGAGGACGGGAGGCGTTGTACATTTAATAATATTATGTTGTATGTAATTCTAGTTTTATCGTCTTTATATTTTATTTGTAATTATAATGAAAGATCTCATTTTATTAATCGGTATTTTCTAACAAGGCGCTTTCATTAGATCATGACTATGCCTACCTCACAAACTTTAAGACTAGTGTCTCGCCGCGGCGAGGTCCGCCTCGCGCGAGCCGGTCGCAAACAAGTCTAAACAAGATCTCAATTTGATGAAAATAAACTTTTAAAAAGACTGGGACGCTTTACTGAATGTTGTGGGATAGTAGTTTCATTGAAGATATTACTTAAATTTATGAGAATAAGAGCATTTATTATGAAAATGGGCGCGCGCTCGTGCCGTGGCACATCTGGCTCGGCTCCGCTTCCGATCCGTCGCTGGATCATCATTTAGTACAAAATTCGTTACAAAAAAGTATTATTTCCTAAATCCACATTCAGAAAGTATTAATTTATTTCAGTGAAAGGTGCTATAAATAGCTTTGTTTCTACGAAAATACTTCTGGCACAATCATGGTAGATGTTATTAAATAAACAATATTAGCAAGCGTGGCGCCACGTCACGTTTACCCATACAATAATACTTAGCTATTGGCCAAATATTGGCATAATCGTTGTTCTTCCACGTCTCCTACTGTATGTTAGCGAGTCAATTATACATACACTTTAACGTAGACAAATGTCATCTTGTGTAATTTTGTACATTTTACATTGGACTTAAATTTGTGTAGATGTAAATGAGTTTCAGCATGACCTTTATTAAAGTTACGATTTATTATAATCATAATTGTTACTGTGAGTTAATTGTAAATAATATTATTTAGACGCAAGAGACTGACATAATAATTTTATTTTATTTGTAACCTATCAAATATTTGTATCATTTAAAAAAAAATATATCTAAACTAAAAACTCTAATGCATTCTTATACCGATTTAGAAGAGCACTTTCGAATATCTATCAATTTACATGAGCCTATTCACTTGTAAATGTTGACTCGACTTAAAATGTGGATGTGACAAACAACAAAAAAGAACCTGACTGTCCAAAAAGTTTTTTTAGGGTCGTCATATTTGATTCACACTGTCGTTATGTAACTTACAGTACCTACTCGAGCAATTAAATCTAATTTAACCACACACTATCATAAAAAAGAAAAAAAAAACTATGACATTTCTTAAAATATTTATATTTTATGTTATGCCAAATATTCAGACATATATCTTAACCCTTCTTTGCATAATTTTTTTTATTGGTGAAATAAATCACGGTGATATAATTCATGTTCAAAATTAAAGGTAAAATTAAAATAAATTTGACAGCTATGGTTTTTTTCTGCAATGGACATTAAAAAGGTGTCTAGACACAATCAATTTAAAGTGAAATTGTTCTTTTATATAATTTTTGGGCATTCAATGTTATGATGGAAATTTCCACCATTATGCAAAGAAGGGTTCATCAACCTTCTTTCATTGATCGGTCAAAATCGTTATAGTCGACATTAAATACGTTATAGAAGTATTACGAACTTTTTCTGAAAACCAACTCAAAACATTCCAGTCATATGTCGGTCTAGACTAGTTCTAGTTTTAACCACACATGTAAATATTTTTAAGAACATTGAACTATCAATCATGTACGTTGAAACGATGTCGAATTGCATGTGAATAGGCTCTAACCTTCCATCTTTATGGCGCTGGTACTTGTGTCAGTCTGTTGAGTTTAGTCATTTCTTATTTATTCCGGAAACAATAAAACTGTTTATTATATACACCCCAAAATAAAACCGATTAATGATATCATATTTACCTGTATTAAAAACATAGTAATTATATTTATATAATTACATAGTATTTATATTTACATTTTTTATTTCAGTCCATAATAAAGCAGTGTGTAAATATATTTCCAAATGTCTACTAAGTTTTGTTCGACAAGACTTTCATATGAACTATTTATAGGTAATAACCACAGACAAATTGAAATAGATGCCGCAATTGGGTGTAGGTATTCTGCGTATAGATTTTGCTCTAGTTCAAAGAATCTACTTGATTCAATTACATAGCAAGATTATAGATGTTCTTTATCTGGAATAGGTTTGTAATAGGTTTGATTAATGTATAATTTACTAATTCTATGTTGGACGGTATATAACTTTTGCGATATCTCAGAAAAAAAAATCATCATAACATTTGGAATAAAATATCAAGTGAAATTAAAATGCGTAGGTCTAAATTGTTTATCACTAATAAAAACATTTTTTTAACAGCATTAAAGATGATATTTTTAAGGTGTTGATTGCGGAAAAGGGTTTGTTATCAACAAATGGCTTATGACATCGCGGCAAATAGTAGTTGCGTTTTTAATTAAGCCACTTGCGTCATCTATCTTCAAATCTGTGGTAACGACATTATTCAAGAGATATATTATCAATATTGTGGTTGCCAACACACGGCCAGTATTGGTTCCAGTTTATAATTTTAGTCCTATACGTATACAACCAACTAACAAAAATTGTCGACACTGATTGTGCCATTCATAACGATTTTGTCAATATATATTAGTCTTTCACTAGTTTAAGTTCGATTATCTGTTTAAACTTTAAAACATTAGTGTTAACACACAAGAATGTATGATCTTTTCGTTCATCTCACCCCAGACAGATTCAGTAAACATAACGTACTGAAAGCTGGTTTATATTTCCATTATGATTTTTTTTTATATAAATATTAAATATTTTTACACACTCCAAACTGTTTTCATAAGAGTAATATGTAGAGAACAGGAAATGTTGTGTCATTTAATAGATAAATAAATATAAAATTGTTATATAATTATATGACAAATATGGCAAAAATATATATATTTTATTGTATAGCGGAATGAGTACTATTTCAGATTTAAATTGTAAATGGAAAATGTTATAGATCAAGATACGTTAAAATAAGTTAACTGTTTGTAAAAAGAAGAGAAAATATGTATAATGAATATTTGCTATAAATTTGTTTTATTTTCACAAACCTTCTTCATTTTAGGGTGGACATTTGAAACTAATACGTTTTATTACGACATTCGGACATACAGAATGTCAGATATATTCATACAATACAAAAGGCATCAAATACCACCAACTAAGATCTAAAGAAAGCTTCTGGCCATAATTTTTAGAAAATTAGTGTTTTGCCTTTTTTAGGGCAAAGCAATTGAGTTGTTGATGATTGATTTATTGAGTCGAAATGTTGCTTCTTTTATATATTTTACTTTTCTATGATATTAGAGGGAGACTTTGTACAAACGTTGGTTTTTTTGATATCTCTGTCTCATTCGTATTTCTACCGTGAAGTAGTTGTATTTGCATGACAGTGAATTTACAGGGTACAGAGGAACGTGTTATTATGTCGAGTCCTCAGGTATGGCAACGCATGGGAGATATCATGGGTGAAACAGTATACTCTGTTATGTCCATGGTACTGCTCATGTCTATAGGCGACGGTTATCACTTTCCATCAGATGGGCCGTCAGCTTGTTTGCCATTCTAAGTTACATAAAAATAAATAAATGTTTGTAGGCATGTGTTTCGAAATTTTCCATATTATATTGTAAAGGGAAAACTGAAGAGTTCAATCCAAAACCTAGACCTACGAGATAGAAATTAACAGGATGCATAGACAATAGTAGAATGTTACGCAGTCAAAAAATGAGGGTGAATGGCAAAAATTAGGCTGGTAAAAAGGTGACGATAGCTGGTCATACAATGTTTGTTCCGGGATCTAACTTAAAAATTTATGTTTGTTTTGTTTGTTCTGGTCTATTTGTTATCAGGAGAAAATTATTAAACCGATTATTTTAATTAGGTAAGTAACTACTATATTATTTCTATAAAAACTGATAGCAGGTTCGGATGATCGAATAATAAGATACAACTTCCGTTAATGTACAAATCATACATAACAGCTTGTAAAAAAAGAAAAAAAAACATAATATCATCATAGTCGTAGAATACTGACGAAACTGACAAATATTACATATATAGATCCATCAGTAATTACGACTATGACGATATATATGTTAAAGCGAGATACACAAGTAAAGCACTTGTTTACACAATAAAGTGTGAAGCTGATTTGGTGGGAGTATGAACAATTTCTAATTGTTTTTACGCTTTGAAGTGAAATTAGTTTTAAGTGAATATAATTAGAATTAAGTGTATTTGTACCTGTATATAAAAATTATAAACAAGAAATACAAAATTTCACATTTTTCACGTAATTAGACTTAAAACATTTAATTCTTTAAATGCAACATTATAGAAAAATCAGAAATATTCTGTATAAGAATTGGGACAAAAACATAATTTAACCCAAATAAAGTTCTGGATGCCCACTTGAAATTAAAATTATAACAAACACATGAATTTTTGCTAATTTTGTTACTTTAATTGTATATAAAATCAGAAGTGTAATATGCCCACATTTATTGTCTGGTTTTTGTTATTACTATGACAGACTGTCAGTATGTAGTACATTATGCTACGTTCATGCATTGGACGGTCATTTTTACGAAAAATCTTATAAGGTGTTAATATAAAATAGCACGAGTTTTATTCTATACTATCTTTTAGTTATTTACAACTAAAATTCCAATATTTTCAAAGGACTACTGACTCTTTATATAAATAAAAAATATATGTATGTATAAGTAGTTATATTTAAATGATCACAACATGAAATACTACTCGTAGTATAAAAAAAGTTAAAACCTAGTACACTGTATAATGCATTCATATATCTGACTTGAGATCCAGCATAACTTTTTCTCCAGGTTTGAACGCCGGCATACCTAGGTACGGGCACGTTGCGCAACGGAATGCGTCACCCAGGTAACACTGAAATAAAAAAGAAATTGTGACATATAATAAAACTGTAGAGGTCAAATCTCTGTTCATAGAAAAAAAAAGCTAAAAACCGAGTCAGGAGGAAATGAAATAGAACACATCCAATTATTTTTTATCTTTAGTTTGTCTGTTTGTTTGGGCTAATCTCCGAAACTAATGGACCGATTTAAATGAAATTTTGCATCGTGTCATCCTACATTCCCGGTCAAACTTTCAAATAATTTTAATTACGGAAAATTAAAGTGTTCCTGTGGGATAGTTAAAAAAACTATAGTAACTTATACAGCTTAGTACACAACCTACTTAAGTAAAGTCATTTTGACCTAAGGCAAAGAGACACCAGACATAATAAATAGGTAGGCACATATATTGATACATACTAAACAGGTTGTCTGTAAGAGATTGCTTTTAGCGATAAGGCCGACTTTTGTATATGCACATTCTGTATAAATACTCCTTGTATACATCTCTATTGTGCGCAATAAAGAGTTTATTATTATTAATAACAAATACTACGCGGACAAAGTTGCGGGCATCACCGAGTTATGTACATAAAATAAAATATGTTCAACGATGTATAATAGTCATTTGTTGATATAAGTTAGATTGAATGCTACGTTCAAACACTGGACTCAGAACAAGTCTCATCACCATTAACATCATTAAACAATACGGTGGTAGGCTCCTCATGAGCATTCTCACTGGCTTTTGGGAATGTGTTCATAACTAGGCCGATAACAACCTAGAAAATCATCAGCACTTACCTCCCGCACATGTTTATACAGGGTAAAACAAAATTGTTAACGTTAATATCTATTTGAAGTTAGAAAAATATTTTTAAAATTGATTAATTTTTATATTTTTAAAAATTCACAAATGTTTTTTGGACATAATGGAGATTTTTCACTTCGAGCCTAGTTACCATCTTAAAAATGTAGAAAACTACAAAGATTAAAAAAAAAGAACAAGTAGAATTAATTTACTAAATTATTAATTGAACAAAATTTTTTTCGTAAATTTAAATAAGGAATTCGATGCAAAATATTATTTAGATGTATAATTTTAGTCTAATGATGGCAATCAAAGCAACTTTGACGTTTTGCTATGTGTAATTTTATTTTGCCAATGTTAGATTCGGAACTTATATCAGAAAGTAAAGAAATATTGTGTGATATATTACTTTGGAATAAATTGATTGGGCCTAAGCTTCATACATTTTTTAAATTTTAACTTACTTAACTTTAAAAAACCTTAAATAAAAAATAACCCTTTCCATATAAGGAATTCTAAACTGAAATTAGCTGGTATCAAAATAGTCTGCATAAATGTATATGCAATATACACATACAATTGCAACTTCTAAGTCTGACGTAAGAATATATTTTTTTACTATTAACAAACCTAAGGCCCATCTGATAGGCAATAATGACCATCGCTCATTGAACTCAGTTATGAAAAGCGTCATAGAAGAATGATGTATGTGCTGTTAATAACAGATTTCTCGAAATTTCCACAGTAATGAACGAGGATTACGCAAGAACAAAGTGGGAAGTAACAGTTAATAAAAGATACTTACACTTCCACAGGATGACTTGGGAGTTTGCTTGGTTTCACCGCGCAACTCTTCGGCGAGTCCACATGAGCAGTCTGCGCATGCTTTTCGTTTCCCAGTCGTCGCACACACTGAAAACATTCATAGAATTGGTTATAAAATAACTGTTTTCCAATACCTGAATGGCACACTGGCAAACGACCGCAGTAAAGTGTATGCTATAAAGCAATTGTCCTCTAACCACATCTTGCAAGTGCAACTTTGCCAGCTTCTACCAGGTAAAGAAGCGATGGTTTGTGGCCAAATTTTATTTGACAGTTGTGTCCCGTCATGCAGACAGATTTGCCAAGCACGTGAGCATAACGTGTCGGTCCGTTGGGGGAAGGAATTCCTGAGGTGTAAGTCTGGAATTGTTATGCCTCTGTGCCCCGTAAATTCATTGCCTTATCCCACCCTTCAAACTGAAAGACAACCATGCAAACACAACTGACTCACGGTTGAAACACGAATGGGACAGAGGTACCCAAACAAACGACTTTTGTACAGTCTTCCTCTAGTAAGGTTTCAATATAAGAACATAGAACCTTATAACCTATTATTCCTCATTGGTACCCCACTATAACACTAGTATTGCGTTTATGGTGCTTAACTGAGTAATTGATTTTGTTCCACGGCTTAGAAAGCTTAGTAAATCTGACGAAAAATACCATAGAAGCAAGACTTCATAAAGCCAAAAAATGTACAGCCTATAGTACTTTCTATCCGATTCGTAAAGAAAAAAAAATACAAAAACTAACATGGGAAATCATAGTATAAAAAAAACACTAAAAACTGAATTGTATCCATTACACTGACATTTTTTAGGCAAACTAGAACTAAGCGATAGAATCTAATTCAGTATTCTTTTTAATTTATTTGTCTCTTACGTCATCACGAAAATATGTCGAAACTGATTAAATTTGTATATAAGTAGGTATTAGCGCACCTTAAAAAAATATTTATTTATACTTTTGCACATACTAAAATATATCTACAGGTCAGACATAATGCCTGATGGCATTCTCTTCCAGTCAACCATTACGCTAAACAGACAGAGTAAATAGCGGTGAATAGATTAAAAAAAATATGTATGAATCAGTGTTAGGATCGATAAATAAAATCATAATATACTGATTGATTCCTTGTTAACTATAAAATTTTATTTGAAGATTCCCTGGATGGAATTAGCATTAAGTAAAATTTATCTCGTCTAAATACTGTGCGGACAAAGTCACAGACATAGCTAATGCCTTAATAAGCACATGTTTACATGCTGACTTGACGTCACCATAACAATTCCAAGTTCAATTTTAATATATATCAAAGAATGTTCAATGGGAAAAGATTATCTATCGGGTTATCTAACGATAACATGTATGACCCAAAACCTTAGCGGGTCAGAATGTTTTATACCTAATAAATGTGATGGATTTATTAGCTATAAAACCTGCTACACATGTAAACTGCATAACGATATACTTATCTAATCACATACCATACAACTGAATTACCTGACATACAAGGGGTCTACCATGAAATGAAATTCCGAATTATCGGATTCAATTTCGTGTTTTTGTTCATGCCAAAATCGGTCCAGTAAATGAAGCTAAATAGTTCGTTCGTCATAAATCTTATCATAAAAGTCCAAAGAAACAATATTTAAATATTTTTAAACGGTATGTAATTTTAACATCAAAATTGTACTTCCTTCAACCCCGAAATTTCGGAAAACATTTCATGATAGGCCCTTTGATTTCGTTAAAATTTAGTAGATACCTATGTTTATTAGGCTACTAAAAAATATGGGTTATAGATATTTTAGAATTAAAAAACATTTTAACTGATGACAATTGATTTGACTGTCACAGTACTGGTACCCCGCCAGCATAAACCATTATGAGCACAAAGGTGGGGGGGGGGGGGGGGCTATCACTCTATTTTCATCGATTAAAAAATACCTTACGTAACTAATAGATATAATAACTTATAAAATGTACGACTCCCTATAAAATCTACGTTCTGTGTACAATTGTCAATGTAAAATGACTACCTATATTGAATAATAGTGAAGCAAGGTGACACTGACTTAACAAAACCGTTTCAGCCAACACTGGGAACACAAAACCTCAACTAAGCGTGTTTTATCAATGCCAGCTGTTGAAACACAAAACTTCGTGTTTTCTTTATCATGATTACTTTCAGATTATTGCGGTTTGATAAAATATATTAAATAATATGAAAATAAACAATACACATTCCTGTGCAAAATTTATTTATTTCTTATTTCAATATCATATATTACTATTATTAATAATTTTTAAGTAGAAATTGGTAAAAAGTATATATTATATATTTATAACCAATGTAAATGAAGCAAACTTCTAAACAATTATTATAAAATAAATAGGTGTTGATATAGACCTTCAGTTAAATAATTTTAATTAAATAATTTTACAGAACCCACTTATTATTCGAAAACTGAACATTTTTTTTTTTTTCATTTCAAAATACCTTCTTAGCATGTTTGTCCTATATAATATATTGATATATAAAATAAAAATGTAAAAACTCTAAATCACATCAGAACATCAGAGATCAAAAACTAGTACTAAAAATTATATATATATATATATATATATATATATATATATATATATATATATATATATATATATATATATATATATATAGTTTACCATCTAGACTAGATTTGTATTTTATTTATTACTTGATATTTAATCAACTCTACTCATGCCTTGTCCTATGATAATATTTATTTATTCTATTTAAATTTAGACAATTAAAACAGTTTATTAATAAAAAGTTAACTAACCTCTTAATGACTGCTCAGGTTTTTTCAGATCATTTTCATCCAACAACTGATCAGAATCAATTATATCATCATCATTGCCTCCCGTCCAAGCTGCCTCAACTGTATCCTCCAATTTCCAAACTGCTGCTTTGTTTCCAAGCTTAAGTGATGCTTTTGATCCAACCTGCCAAGTTATAATGTTTTAATACAGTTTAAATATTATTAGATATTAGTCTTCTACCCTTATACACATATCTCTTTTAATCTATTTTTACTAACTTATCTCACTAGTCTCATACTGTACAAAAAAAAACTAAATGAAGGAAATCTTTAAAACTGATTTATTGCATACACATCAGTTTCAACTACTCCTTTAGATAGTATATAATGTAACTCTTTATTATAAGTTATCTATTTAACATAATATGATTATTCTATTTAGTTTTTAAATAGTACATCAACATAACCTCATTTTTACAGAACCTTTTTTTGACTATGATAATGTGCTAGTGCAGGTTAAAATAAATCAATGTACAGTCTCAAAGAATATCTTAATGAATAATTTCTTTACTCATATTTAACTAAAGGGTTGCCTGACTAGTTACTTAAGTATGAAAGTAATTTATACACATATAAGATAAGGAAGACTTAATTATAATATAATACATATCACAATACATATTATTAAAAAATAGCAATATGCTGTGTGTTAAATTAAAATAATTTAAAAACAGAATATTCTTTTTCATGTTGTTAAGCTAGAATAGTAATCTTACCTCAAATTTAGGTTTTTCAGCTACATAGACATTATCAGATTCTTTAAGGACATTCACAAAACCATTCAACTTGAGAGTACTAGTTAGATCTATTGTATCCTTTAATATAAGTTTGCCACTTGGTTTCAGCAGTTTTACAATTATTGCAAGCAGATTATCATTATGAATCATAGATTGTGGTGCTAGCCAATTCGATATTACAATGTTAAATGAAGACGGTGTTCGAGAAGCTAGAAAAAAATATATGATACATTATATAAATAAAATATTAAATACTATAAATGTTGGGGGTGTTAAAGTCAAACAATTATTCTTCAACTAGTGTGAATTAATGTTAATGTTGTAATATTCTGAAATAATTATTAACTGGGACTTCATAAGGAAGAAAAAGTAGCCTACATTCTTTTTCATTCTATATAAAAATAATAAATTGATTTGCTTTAAATAGGCTGATAAATGCTTTCAATAAAGTTTCTTAAGGCACTTTCAGATGCAATATTAATTACAGTAATTACAGCTTTTATGCACAACTAAAATTTTTTTAATATATGTATCAACAGCATTGCTCCAGAGCAGTCATCCATATCTAATCACAGATTCAATATACGGAAAATATGCTGTATTGTTTTGATATTATTTACCATTTTGATTGACTATTTAATTTGTAGAGTGCCAAAGGAAATCTTTTAATTTTTGAATAAACCTTTTCTAATTGTTCTTTCAAAATCAACATAGAATTTCTTGTTAATAATAACCACACAATTCACTTTTTTTTTATTTATCCATTTATATCTATATTAATTAAAATATTTTTAAAGTTATTGAAATTTATCATTTTTGTTTCACCTAAATTTATACGAAAATTGTTTTCTTGTGTCCAGTATAGTACATGTATACCATATTTCATAGTGATTGGTTAAGTTGTTAAAGCACTATAAAGTAACAAACAAAATTACTTTCACATTTGTAATATGGTAAGGATGTACTGTATGTAATATTCATTCATAACTTTTATTAATACAACATGAAATCAATTATTCTCATAATTATAGAACAACTGTACACAAAAAATAAAATATACTTACATTCTGTGATCATTTCAGAGTTTTCCAGAACAATAATTCCAGTTTCAGAAATACTTTTAATTTTATTTACTAAACTATTTAAGTCATTTTGATCACTGTTTTTCCAGATTATCAAAACATTATCACCATTACATACGTTATTCATTTTTAATGTAAATTATATTTTAATATTCACTTCGAAATTTCCAAATATTTTAATGTGTATTATTAAATAATGGATAGGTAATTAAATGTATTATAAATACAAGAGAAAAATGCGATGTGAACGCATCAATGCACGACATTCACTCTTTTTGAAATTTTAGAACAAAATTTGCAAATTTTTTATTCGTTTCATATGATGTCTTCAGCGAATACAGTACAATTGTGTGAAAATATTTTTTATTCCTTTATATAGGTAGGATAGATACGATTAAGAGATTGCTTTATATATATAATACATAGTTATGGTATCTATATATAGACTAGATATCCAGAGTAGGGATGTGTCGACTCACTTCTTTTAAATGAGTCGGCTTAAAGCATATTAAGCGAAAAGGTTATAAAAATCGAACTTATTTTTTTAACTTGTGAGTACTCATTTAAAAGAATATAAATTCTTTAAAATATTAGAATGAATGTAAAGAAAATTAAAAGCAAAATCAGAGTGAAGGTTTTTTCTTTGCTTATTTTGGCGAATGTCAAAAAATACAGACAGCGATACACATTACCCTCTGCGCCACGGTGCAGTTTTGAGTTAACTTAATGAGCACAATAGGATGCGTCTGAGTTACTTAGTTGACGCAATAAAAATCTTTGAGTCACCCATGTTTAATATAGAATCAATACCAAATACGATGTTTGTATGTGTTTATTAGCTACTATATATAATATACACTTTTTTTTAATGACCCCACCGAAGAAAGGACAGGAATGGTAACCCCACCATGAATTGTTAGCATTGGAGTTTGACAGCTCCATTGCTAGCAATATGCCTTATTTTTTTTTTTTTAATGGATGATAATGGAATGGTAACCCCACTCGCGCTATCGGTATACACCGGCGGGGCACCAATGAAGGATGATAGGTGCGGATGATGTAGGTCAGTTAGCGCATCGTGACAAATTCAACAAGAATTGTTCACGATGGTTTCCAGGGGAAACCACGTAGAGGTCGACCTAATAAGGCATATTGCTAGCAATTGGGCTGTCAAACTCCATTACTAACAATCCCTTTCCCCCGAGCAATATGCCTTATTAGGTCGACCTCCATGTGGTTCCCGCTGGAAACCATCGTGAACAATTCTTGTTAAATTTGTCACGATGGGCTAACTGACCTGCTTCATTCTCACTTATTATTCTTCACTGGTGCCCCGCCGGTGTATACCGATAGCGTGGGTGGGTGGTACTATTCCATTATAATCCATTAAAAAAAATACAAACCAAATTTTTAATACATTTTAGTGATAATTATTATAAGTTTAGTATGGAAAATTATCTTCTTTCCCCATAAAGGGAGTTTTGTTAATATTTGTCACATTTGGCAAGTGGGCTGACAAACATAGTTAGACTTTAGTGACATTTTAAGAAGGACGCTACTGCCCATTCATCAGTCATTAAGTTTCTTTAGCCAAAGGAAGGGGTGTCCCATTCTATGCCGGGATCACACGGCAAAAGGTTAAAAGACTGATTTAGAGAAATGGCACCTCAGAATTGGTTTCAATATTTTTTATTTTTATATTATTATTTATATTTAGATATTGAACTGATAAAAGTGATATAGAAGTGAGTGATGACTCTTTTTTCTCTTTAATAAACTCGATGAACCCAAATTTAGATACTAGATAAAATTTCAGAACATATATTAAAGATATATTAAAATCCATACATAGATAAGATTTTAAATCGCTCATGACAGATATTTTTTTTTTTTTTTCTTCTTTTGTGGCGTTCACCCCGATATTAGGGTATTTTGCCAAGAACAAAACGGGGAAACGATAATAGTAATAAAAATACCTAACACAAACGAATTTAGAAAGGATAAGGATTAGGTCTAGGATATTTATAGGATATGAAGGATATACTTGTACATATGAGAATATACTTATAAATATATAGGAAATGCAATTATAATTAATGCAACTATAAATGTATTCATGTAATATAACTAAATCTTAATATTGTTATCATATATATATGAAGATAGTATTTTATAGATAATAGGATCATTGGAAGAAAGTAGAGTAAGAATAGAAGTTGGGAATGGAACACGGATGGATCGGAGATGATTAAAAAGGGAGGTGTGGTCAAATTTAGAACATGAGAAGAATATATGATTCAAGTCCGCCACTTCAGCACCGCAATTACACGACGAACTTTGTACAATACCAAGCATGTATAAATGAGAAGGTGTGCATACGTGACCTAGACGCATACGAGTTATAATAGTTGTTGCGGTCTTTCCAAGCTTTAATTTACAAAACCATGGTTTGAAAGGAATATCGGGTTGTATAAGGCGATAAAATCTTCCTTTTATTGTACTTGTTTTTTCCCAATATTCCTTCCAGGCATACCTTAAATATATTTTTGGGAGACAAGCTAGGTCACTACAGTAATTATGATACGGATACATATCACCACAAGTTACAGCCTCTCTTGCAATAAGGTCAGTTTTGTCATTGCCGCTAATACCACTGTGTCCTGGTAACCAGGCAAAAGAAACGGAATACCCTCTCAACATGCAAAGATAAAGACTTTGTCTTATGTCACAAATAATGGGATAAACTGGTTTTGATTTAAACGGATATTTGGCTAGAGCTTGCAAAGAGCTCATAGAGTCAGTGAAAACTATTGCCTTATGTAATTTCATTAAAAGTATATATTCTACAGCTTTTAAAATACCATAGCATTCCCCGGTAAAAACTGAAGATTCCGGTGGAAGTTTAATTTTTTGAACGATATTAAATTGTGAATGAAACACACCCACACCTACACAACCGCTATTGTCTGGTTTTGATGCATCAGTAAAGATGTAGTGCCATTCATTCCATTCAATGTCAGTTATAAACATAAATTTGGCATTCAATTCTGAATCATTTTTTGATAACCCAAAATCATATTTAATATTAGGAGATAAAACTAAAGATTGATATGAGCATTTATAAATGGGAAAACAGGACGATGTAAAAGTGGGAGATTCTATGGATTTATATTTTTCATAACTTTGTATTAAACATGGAGGTTTTTTATGTTTCCAATAAGATGAAGACGAAATAAAGATATGTAGTTGAGATAACTTTTGAATAAGCGGATGATCAGATAATTGTAAACAACGAAAAAAGAAGCGATCAGATAGATATTGCCTTCTTAAAACCAAAGGTGGATCACCGACTTCGAGCTGTAAAGCATTGATTGGACTTGATTTCATTGCTCCAGAGATAATCCTCAAGGCCTTTGATTGAATTAAATCCAATTTCTTAAAAGCAAATGAACTTCCTGGAGCTAACAAAAAAGTTCCATAATCAATGACACTCCTTATAAGACCATTATAAGCAAGTTTTAGTGAAACGGGATGTGCTCCCCACCAAACTCCAGCAAGGCACCTAAGAATGTTGAGGTTACGCTCACATTTCGTAGAAATATAATTACAGTGGGACAGACCTGTTAATTTATTATTTAGCACGATACCTAAAAATTTAATTTCAGTCTTTACAGGAATGTATGAGTTATCATAAAGCACCTTAATTTGTTGCGGTGATCTCATTCTTGAAAACAAAACTACACTACTCTTGGTTACAGAAAGATTAAGACCATTTGCATCTAACCACGTTTTTAACAAATCTAATGAATCAGATAATTTGGCAGAAGCAGATTCTATGGACTTCGCAATAAAATATAATAAAAGATCATCAGCATATTGTAAAATTTTGACGGATTTATCAAGGAATAATTCTAGATCGTATGTGTATATGTTAAATAAGATTGGACTGAGAACAGATCCTTGTGGAAGGCCTTTCCATACTGTTCTAGATAATTTGGTATCTTCATCTAAATTCATATATATTGTTCTTTCTGATAAAATATTAATAATGAAATTAGAAAGCATTACCGGTACATTTAGAGCTTGTAATTTAGTTTTTAAAATAGAAATTATTACATTATCATAGGCAGAATTTATATCTAAAAAGGCTGAGAGGATTGACAAATTTTGTGAGAAAGCTATATGAATATCTGAAATAAGAATGCTCACATTATCTAAGGTGCTCTTACCTTTCCTAAAACCAAACTGGTTCGGGGATAGTAAGTTATTACTTTCTAAAAACCATTCTAGACGGTTCTTCACTAAATGTTCAGCTAGCTTTAGTAAGACAGAGGAAAGTGCAACAGGACGGTATGAAGATGGTTCAGAAGGTGGTTTATGAGGCTTTAGAAATGGTATAATAATCTGAGACTTCCATGAAGTAGGTATATTTCCCGAAATAATTATGGAATTAATTATATTTAAAAAGTAAATTAATGTCGCATCGCTAGCATTTTTAAAAAAGGAATACGGTATACCGTCTTCTCCCGGTGCAGAGTCTTTAATACAAGCTAGAACACCTTTAAGTTCTACAAGAGTAAAAGGAGACTCAAGTTCGGATAATTCGTCAGAGACGGATAGAGAAATATTGTAAAGGCATTCCGGCACATAACTAGGAGCAAGGCGATCTAAAAATTTATTCGCTAAAGTTAAATCGAGTGCAGAACGTGATGTATGATCACTAAAGGCAGATCTGAATCTTTTAATATTATTCCAAACGACTGATGAATTAACTTCTGGACAGATAGAAGAACAAAATCTTCTCCAACCTTCCAATTTCTTTTTTTTCAGTAGTTTTCGAGTAGAACGTGAAACTGCGGTGTAAATTTCAAAATTTTCTGATGTCATGTAATTATTATAATTTTTTTCAGCCTCTTTACGATTTTTAATTGCTTCCGTACAATCTTTGTCCCACCAAGGTGGGGAGGGAATTTTCCCTGAAGCACTATTTTTAACAGGAAATAATAAATCAGCAACCTCCTTCATATTAATTATCAAGTCATTACAACATTGATGTTCATTTCCATGGTAAACAATAGGTAACTCCGATATTTTATTATCTAAATATTGTTTGTAAATATTCCAGTCTACATTTGATAAATTATATTTAAATCGAGGACCACTCTTTCGACTTGAGGGAATGGAAATTGGAAAAGAAAGAATGAGGGGAAAGTGATCGCTTCCGAAGGTAGAGGAATGAGGATACCACGACAGTGAAGAAGCTAAATCAGAAGAACATATTGAAATATCAGGAGCACTAAACCCTTCATTCGGTGCAGTTCTACGTGTCGGTACATCTGAGTTAATAATACATAAGTTGTAAGTGTCAATTATCGTCAGGAGTTTTCCACCATAAAAATTAGAAGTAGAACTGCCCCACGATTGGTGCTGAGCATTAAAATCGCCCATTACGAGAAAAGGTTTAGGTAAATTTGAAAATAATTGTTCTAGTTGTGAATATATTTGGCATGTAGGATCAGGAATATATAAAGTAACAAAACAGATACCATTTATAATTATAGCAGCTGCATTAATGCCGCTATATACAGGAAGCGAAAAAGAAGAAAAAGAAGGGAGTTTTTGACCAATATGGCAACACCGCCATATCCGTCAGCTCTATCATCACGGAGACTTGTAAAGCCTGAAATCCTAAAAGGATATCCTGGCTTTAACCAAGTCTCTTGTAGAGCTATTATAAAAGGATTATATTTATTAATCAAATAAAATAAGTCTGATTTCTTATTTGTTATGCTACGACAGTTCCACTGAATTATTTGGACTTTGTAATCCATTGTGAGAAGTTAATAATTGAGAAAATACATTGTACATGGCATCGTTGGACGGTGGTAAAGTTGTTTGTATCATTTTTGATTGCGATAACACTTTAATAAGCATGAGAATAATATCAATGATGGATTGATTATTGTCAATATTATTTGATGATAATGCACAACCATTAGAGGGAGCAGGAATATTATATTCCTTAACTATGGCTTCATGGGCAGAATGATCATATCCTTGTTGTATTTTTTGAGGAGAGCGTGGTTTAAGTGTAACTGTTTTTTTATATGATGATTGTATATGTGGTAATGATGATTTCTCTTTAAGGAAAGAAGATTGAAAATGAGATTTATTGGAAGGAGATGATGATGTTAATACATCTGAATATAGTTTAGAAGTTGGAGGATGAAATTTTGATGCTTCAGCATAAGAAACACAACTATGGGCCATTGTTTCTTTAATGGCTTTCTGACGTGCATATTCAGGACATTTTTTACTAATTGCTGAATGAGAACCATTACACAAGATACAAGAAACATTTTCCTCATCTACTTCACATTTATCACCTGTATGATTTTGCCTGCATTTATAACACCGAGGATTTGAACGACACTGCATCTTGACATGTCCGAACCTACAGCAGTTATAGCATTGGATAGTAGGGTAAATGTACAAATCTACAGTTAATGATGTGTAAAACATAAATACTCTTTTTGGCAATATTTGTCCATCAAAAGTAATAACAACGGTTTCAGTATTAATAAAACTTGGTTGTCCTTCATTAATTGTCTTTTTCTTTATTCTTCTGGTTTTTAGAATTTTCCCACAACCTATCGGTACTGATATATTTTGGATTACTTCCTCTTCTGTCCAATCTTTAGGAATACCCCTCACAATTCCCATACGGGTTACATGGAAAGAAGGTATAAATGCCTTAAAATTATGTGTCTCTAAGTTACTATTATTTAAAAATGCATTTGCATTTTCAAAATTTGAGAAAGAAAGCGATAAACGGTTTCTTCCTATTCTTTTGAGGCTACCATTCACTATATTATTTATCTTATTAGTGTGTAAAAAGCGACCAAATGCAATAGGATGTAATGTAGTGTTATCATTAGGATGTGTTTCATTTTTTTGTACATGAACGACATAAGGTGCTATATCCTCGGCATTGTACAAAGTTCTGCTTAAAGTACTGGGTGGAGAAGCAGGTTTAACAGACTCGGTATTGTTTACAACTGGTATTGATACTTGAGTTTGATTCTCATCTTCAATACATTGACAATCACTATCTTTAATTTTAGATTCAAGACCCTTGGTGTGCCTCCTTCGTTTTTTATTGCAATGTTTGCAAATGCGACGTTCACCACGTACTCGCTTACGTTTAGAACTTGCAACGCTATAACCATCTGTGTCCATACTAGATTCACCCAATATATCAAAACTATTATTGAATGGAATAGTTATATTTGCAGACACCTGGGGGGTTGTCCCCCCAGGGTCTATAGGTGGATCCATAATGTTAATATAGGTAATTTACTTACCAATATTTACAGCAACAAACACTATTACTACAAAATATACAATTAAATATACAATCTAATACACAATATATAAAAAAGACTAATCCTTATATAATTAAAAATAAAATTAATTTAAAGAAGATCAAAAAACACTCCCGCTTTTTTAAACGTTTCCCGCGCTTTTTCGACAGATATTATGCACATGTTTAATAGGCATGATCTATGGTCTACTATGCCATAATAAAATGCATAGATTTTTGACACTAGAGTCATACTTAAAGTAATTATTTGCTCTGTGGTACATAGGTAATTTCTTGTTCTTAGGTAATTCCTAATTCATACGAAGTTGACATATTATACATTATTTCTATATGAATGTAAATCATAGATTAAGAATAATATCATAATAGATGTAAAAAGGCGTTTACATTAGATAAATCATTCAAATTAACGTGAAGTTATTTTGGTACAGAATAATGTTTACCGAGTGTGACGCATGTCAAATATGACAGTCTCACTAATCTGTAAACAAGACGCAAATGAATATACCTAGCTATCACTACCTATGTAAAAGGCTCTTCGAAGAATTTCTATTTTATTATAGGTTAGATAAATGCATTCAACATATGTATTTCTTTACTGTTTGTTTATTTCAATTGAAGAAGTAGAAATATTATTATTTTATTAATATTAAGTTATTGTACTTAGCTAATGTTTATCGAAGCCTTTTTAGCTGGTATATGGGCATCAGTAGGAAGCTCTTTGGGAAAATTATCGGGATCTCATTATGTAGTAGTAAGTACCAAATTTTTTTTTTTCAATAATGTCTAGATATAATAACAACAAGTCGACTTTTCTAATATAGAAGTGTTTGTATAATTTACAAATACAAAAAATGTGTGTATAATAAATACCTTGTTAGGTCAATCTTATTGCAATTTTTCAGTTTTTCTAAACGAATTATATTAAAAATTCTATTCATTTTAAAAATTCTTTCACCAAAAAATTCTATAGATAGCTACATTATCAGCGAGTAACATGAGCTGTATTTTAATTAATAAAATGTGGGAAGACTGGGCAAGCTGCTGGAAATCTAATATTTTTATATGTCTGTATACATATGGGAAAATAATGAACTCACTTTGTTGCTTCCGACAATTGTTAGACTTCATCAGAACCTCTTCAAGTGTTTCTGTCGAAAATGACAAAAACATTGAATTAATTAATTTCTTGTATGTCTATACACATACGAGACACTGAATAAAAATGAACATAAGTTGTAAAAATAATATTTTTAAATGATTTACACACACTACCCTATCTGACTATCAGGGTGCAGTCGATAATCATTTCACCCCTTAAGCAGGGGTTTGAGTGATTATAGGTCGTTTTTGATCAGGTTTGACATAGTTCTAATCTTTGTTCTCGAGAAATGATTTCCAAATAGACCAAAATATAATTGCGATAGCTGCAAATTAGAAGACATATATGCTGTTAAAATTTATTTTTGACTTTTTTTTATTATATTTCGTTGTCTTGCCACTATAGAGCTATTTTGGAACTAAATTTAAGCGCAATTAAAAGTTACTCTTATATTTTGGTACTAGATCGCAATGCGAGACAGGCGTGACAAATATATATGTATGTATGTATCGCAATGGCGCTGTATTTGAATTGCACGATTATAAAGCAATCGTGCAACGTAATAACAATTTTGGCAATTGGCAATCATTCCGTTCAATTATTGCGATGTTTTTACCTCAAATATATAGAGTGCTAGTAAAGAATTAGGACTTTCTACAAAAAACCTACTTCAGTTGTGACAAAACTGGTTATTTTTATTTAAAAACAACACTACTGAACCGATTTTAATAAAATTTCTGTGAAACCAATCAGTAAGAATTCATTGCCCGGACCACATGGAAATGGGCTACCCTTTCTTTCCCGTGGGTGTCGTAAGAGGCGACTAAGGGAACTTAATGGTAAATGCAGCAGCATCCCTCTTAACCAAAAACATTACCTAAGAGAAATTGTGTTACCAATCCGCCTGCCATGCATGGCAACTACGAGTTAAATCCAAATTCTCCAACGGTAAACTGCCATAAGAAACGGGAACGTTCCTGGGGGAGGTCTATGTTCAGTAGAACGGTTGAAATGATGATCAATTTTTTAAGAATAGTCTTCCAGATAAAAATGAACTTTCCAAATCGGTTTACAACTGAAAGTTACGAGATAATAAATATAAAAAAGTATAACCGAATTAAGGACTTCCTTCTTTTTGAAGTCGGTTGAAAAGAGAAAATAATAAAATAAGCATACTAAAAGTTTCTTTTCTATGATTTTAAAAGTGTTCTGTTCCAAAATTATGTCGTCCGGCTTCAAAATGCTTTTGGGAGAGAAGCACTACATTTAAGCAGGTTTATAGGGTTATACACTGCATACCATCTCCCGGTCTTCATTCTCCTGTTGAGGCATAATCCGTCATCGAAAGGAGAATCTCCATCATGATTAATTCTTATGGAATTCGTCAAAATGGGCTAATTGGCTTGCTTTCATTCTAACTGGTGTTTCGCCAGCGTATAATGATAACGCGGACGGATTACTATTCCATTATCACTCATTTGAAAGAAAGGTTCAATTGAATGAAAAACGAAATGTTTAAAATATAATGGAGAGTACTTTGAAAAACAATAAATTTAATATTTTATTTTAACTTGTTTTATTCAATCTTATGCAAAACTTTCAGTTTGCCTTATATACTATAGGTAACCAGAACAGACATATAAATAAGGATATAAATATGTGAATCGTACCTGCGAGTATTGAAAGATAAGGCGGTATGTTGAACAACTAGACCATTATTATTATATTATTTTTAAAATGCATAAATTTTCTCAGAAAGAGCAGATATGGTAAACGAACCCTCGACAAAAACAGGCCGGAGTTTAACTTCACTATTTTGTAAAGTTTTTCACTTCATTTTGCAATATACTTTGACTTCACCTACATTTTCATCTACCTAATTTTCATATTCTGTAAGTTATGACAATGTACAAATGACGATAGCGCATTTGTAAGTGCGAGGGCTGGGCAGTAGCGTCTCTCTTAACACATTTCTAAAAGCCTGACTGTGGTTGCCAACCTGCCTGCCAAGCGTGGTAACTACTGGCAAAATTCCCCTTATGGCGAAGACTTATGTCCAGCAGTGGACCGTTAACGGCTGAAATAATAAAAATAGCGCACTTACCTTAGTTCACTAAACGGTCACCACCCTGAATCACGGAATAGATCTCTCATCGATCTTATTTGTTTATAAAATAGTAAAACTTGAGTTTGACTTTACAGAAAGGCACTACAGGGCATAGTGACATATAAATTAATTAATTTTAAATACATTATCGAGACTTAATGCGATCAAAAATCTTTGTAAGTAAATAGTACCTATATACCTGCTTCTTTATTTGCCGACTTTCGACATGAATTGCAACACGTCGTGGTCACTTAAGATAGTATTTAAAATATGTGTAAACAACGCGAAAGTTTAAAATTAACTTATGTATTAATTCTTCTGAAATTTTTCATATAAAACACAAGTAACAAATTTTGAGTATCTACATTTTAAAATGTTCCGTCTATGTTTTGTCAGTTGAATAAGTTCATCTAAAGATATTTTCATTAAAGTTGTCTAAATAGGCTACATTTCACTTTCTTTTCAGCTATAAATCAACTGTGTTTGTATGGCATATGACAGTATATTTACTCGGTACGGAGATTATCACTAGTTTTCAGGAAAAGTGACGTGTTACTATAGGCGTCGCAGTTATTCAATAAGTTGGGCCGTCAGCTTACCTGTCATTCCAAATCGTGTAAAAAAGAGAATAGGAAAATCCATATATTATATTTTTTATTTGACTAGGGTGAGAGTTACGTCATATGGGCCGGGTTGCTTGTTGCTATGGTGTTGGCTAATACATGGGGTTGCCGCCACTATCTCCGGTCACTCGACGCGGCCACAAACTCCGTCGCACCTACAGTCATATCCGCTGTTTCCAGTTACGTTCTTTCTGTAAGTTTCTTCAAATATAAATTTTGCTAGAATTTATACTTTGTCAAATTTAAAAATATGTCGTTATCGATTTGGGACTATTATAAAGATGATATTATTTTTTAAATACTACTTGCATTTAAAATTGTAAAAGTCGTGATAAGATCCCGTCAAGTATGTATACTTTATTGATACAATAAAATTATAAATAAACAAAGCCTGCATATAGGAGATATTTAAGAAAAAATATTAACAGTAATTGAACCTAACACAATATTTTTTAGAATTTTTGTCTGTCTGTACGTTAGTTCCGAAATCACGAAAAAAATCTGCATTACTGTGATCACAGTGTAACTTAAAATTTTTACTTAGTATACAATGACGCTTATCTGTGAGAGCTGTATACACCTTTAATTGATGTGTTCATATGGCCTTAAGCTTGGTAGGGAGGAGTGAGATCTTTTTATTCAAGTAAACTAAGATTTAAGCATTTTTGAATAGTAGTTTTTCACTTTTACTTATTTACAACATTGAACATTGCCTGCTTAATTGTTGTGAGCATATTGTTGGTGTGTCTTTTATAAATAAATAAATAAATTAAAACCTGATGTAGATCTTACTCGTATCTTGATATGTTAACTAGAAATGTTTTATTTTTTAATAAATAATAATGCAGTGGAAACCTTGCCTATGCTAACTGTATACACTGCTGGGTCACCAGTAAGGGATGACAAGTGAGAAAGAAAAGGCAGGTCAGTTAGCTATCACATTGCAGGCTCTAGCGATGTGATTGGTAGTTTGCATTACTAACAATCTCTTCCCCCATCTAGAAGTGGTTGCATACATACCTACTTGCAAAACTTACATATAGTTACAAAATTAGTTACATATAGTTTTAAGTTGGTTTTTTATGGAACAAATACTAAAAAAAAAATATCTTCTCTTTTATAAACAGGGCGTGATTGGCATAGCTTTGTTCGAGGAAGGTGCGTCAGTACGGTGGTGGGCTGGCGCAGTACTCATTATTATGGGCCTGGCGTTAGTGGCGCGACCACAGAACAAGCATAAACCTGCATAGCTTTCGTGTTACAACATATTTTTTACAAATGAAGGTCATTTAAACTTAGAAACTTAATGTACCGCATTCCAGCAATGAAGTATTATTTTTATATAGTAACTATGTACATTTAATAAAAGTAATCATGTTAGGTGTTATTTATAGAAAATGACTTGTTTTTAACTCCTAGGAGGAATAAAAAAGTTACTTTACTTGAATCATACAATAATTTATTTTGAATACCTACCCACCCAAATTTAATAGGCAAGTCGTTCTAAAGCAGGAATATTAATGGACTTGTGTATTCTACGGCAATTTATGCGTATTGTAATTTGAATCGTATTGTAATTTGTGTAAAGTGATTATTTTATCTCCTTGAATAACTTTGTGATATACTTATTTAGGGTATTTTTAGTGGATGATAATGTAATAGTAACCCCGCCTGCACTAACGGTATAATAACGGTGAGGATAAAAGCAGATCAGTTAGCCTATCATGATAAATTCACCTGAAATTAAACATTATAGCAGGGTATATTGCTAGCAAAGGGGGCTGTTAGTTCCCATTACTAACAATCCCTTTCCTACCACTTATTTAGGCACCAAACAAACTAATGTAACCAGTAAACATTTTATTTGATATAAATTAATTTAAAATTGTATACCATTAAAAATTTTCAAATTTTTTTATTATATATTAAAAATAATGTTTATCTAATTTAAATACTATAAAACCGAAGAAGTAAATTTCTAAGGTACAATTCAGTTTATATATTAATAGGTATATTTAATTCTTTTTTTGTTTAATGCTTTTAATTATATAAATCAATGAGTATAATTAATATGGTTCTATCTAATGTAATGCATTTTATAAGGCTGTTAACTTTACCTTAAGTAATAATTAAGGATTGTTATTGATGACGAGTCACTCCGAAGATTGTTGAGGATTATCTACACGTGACACTGTTATTAATTGTCCTATTAATAAAATCATATTTTAGATAAATGTTTTTTATTTATTACTGTCTTTTTTTTTACACAATTCTATCCGTACAGGAATAATGAGATTTCTTCCGTTTTCGTATTTAAAAAATTTTAAGTTTGTTTTCAATCGTTATATAATGTTTTTTTTTTACTACGTAGGTTTCTTGTAACAAATATTTAGAATTCTATTGTTCTAATACTGTGCTATAGTACTGTACCACAGTAACTTTACGCTCTATGACTAGAAATTTTTTTTTTATAACACAAGGAACAAATGAGCATGCGGTTCACCTGATAGTAAGTGATTACCGCCTGAATTTTATAATAACTTAACAAATAGATGGACAAAAATAAATTGTGCAGGATGCATCGAAGCTAACGTAATACTTGCTCATAGACAGTTGGATAGATGGTTTTTATTGTTCCCTTCAGAAGCTTTAAAATTTATTAGTAAAAAAATTATAAGAAAATACCTATGAGTACCTACAGAGAAAACAATAGGTCATATACTGGGGAATGCCAGAACGTGGTCTTGTTAACAAGCGCAAATTTTGGAATCACTAGGTTCCTAAAGAACATAAACTGTTCCACAAGCAGCTTAGATTGTGGCAGTCACCAGAAGAGGCATACAAGCATGCATCCGCCTTATGGTTAACGGTCTCCGTAACATATGCATGTTGACTAGAACTACCACACTCACAACAATTATCCAATTGCGATTTTAAGTGCTGAAATATCCGACTAAATTAGCGTAGTCTCTAGCTACCTTAATACATTAATCAGTTAGGACGAGAAGTGTCCATTTTAAAACTATTCAATCTTTTATCCCAGATGTCGACACGGGAATAAAAATAATACTGTATAAAACAATAAACTTGAATAGTAGCTACAAAATCCAAGACACTCGTACTAGGTTCAAAACTTTTAGGTACTACTTAACAACTCAATCTAATGGGTTTCGAATCTGTATCAAATCGAAAGTGTTTTCAGTTATACGAGTGGATTTATTGATGCAGGATTACTATTTTAAAATATGTTCATATATAAATAGATAATTGTGTCTATCTGTCTATAAGTTTATGTGAAAATTACAGTTATACTATATCCAAGTCAAGGCTGATTTGAAGAAAAAAAAAAGAAATTATAAAACGTAAACACTGTATCCAGATGCAAGCAACTAAGTATCCAGTAATGAAAATAAAATGCGTATAAAGTAACGTCACATAATTAAAATAAATTTATCCCGTTTGTACACAAAAAGTATCACTTTGGGCAAAAACGCGACGGTTTTTAACACAAAAGTAACTCACCCTTTGCTCAGCTTTCACCCAGCCACTGGTAGGTATGCTTATTACTTTTATCGATATCGATATTTTTAATTAGCGCAAAGGATATATACATTTTAGTATTGAATTATTTTTATTGAGATACGCAATTGATATGATTGATGACAGCAGCATAGTAGTAAAGAAAGAGGTGATAAGTAGAATCAAAAGACAGAAGATTGTGATAACTCATGTCGAAATAATTAATAATAGTAATTTTTTTAAATAGTTAATAATAAGTTAGAAATATAATGTCTCAAAATGAACTTCAACAAAATTAGCAACATTTAGAAGAAGCCAAATAAATCTAAAATTGACGGACATGTTAGAAGAGATATCTCTAGATTTCTTTTTGCATGTTTGTCAATTTTGGTTTTATTTGGATATTATGCATCGAATTTACCCATTATCCGTTGTAAGTGTATTTGTTCTATAATTTTAGTCGATTTCAAAGGAAAAAAGAGTATAATAAATTCAAAAGTATAGATGAAGTATTTGAAAACAAACAATACTTTTTCGATTCGAGTATAATTTTTTATTCATTCATTAATTAAAAATGGCATTCGTTTTTTTGAGTTTCCATAGTGAATAGTAGGGTACGTACTTATTATATCGGTTGTAAGCTTATTAACTGTTATCTATAGTAGTTTTATACAAGCGTTATAAAAGTTACACTACAGTTACACATACACATATATTTCGTTTAATAAAACAAGTTGAAATTATAAAGTTGCGTTTCTTTTTACAGTTTTTATGTTCCTAGGTAACTCGATGATCTCTATGACTTCATTCTTCAAGTTCAAGAGGACATCATTTTTTAGTCATTTTAGGGTTACAAACCTACAGGCCCTACGCGAAGAAGTCCTTTCTACCGAATTATGGTTAAGCTTTATTGTTAAGCTTTTTTATCTATCGACAAATTTATATCGATGTTAACGCATCACATTTGTATTTTATAGACGCAGTGACGCCGTCAGTGGCGCGCCGCGGGTCGAGTTCGCTACACGTATATTGTCGGTCTGTCTCGCAACTCCGCGACATACGGTCTACACGCCCCGTCTCGTTTGAAAGAATCTCGATCAATAATAAAAGCACGACCGAAACTTGATGCGTCCTTATCGTTATCATCCCATCCCTACACGTGTTCATCCGTCTTAATGCACTGCACATTTTTATATAACCGATTGTGATCGACGCCTATGTACTCGTAGAATCGCGTGGCGCACCGGCGTCAACAATGTAGCCATAGTGACGTGACCGTGTTGACAATTTGACAGATTATTATGAGGCTACCATGCAATAATTATTAATGAATTTTTATAATTAATTGTTGGGTGTTATTATTTTTTTTATACATTTTTTAAATCGACAATAATTCAATATATCTAGTTGTAAAAGTGTTATAAAATAATTGGTGAAAATGGGGAATGGAATGAATAAGGTAAATATAATTTTATTTATTAATGAATGATGAAATTAGTTTCCGTTATTGTTAATTTGTTCAGAATGCGGTTGTTTTGCGAGAGATCGTTACGTAACCACGACAGCGTAGCCGTTAGTAACACGTAGACGGCCCGTAGCGACCGTAGCTTCGTAGCCGCGAGTTCTTGAATTGCCGTATTCTCATTTAGATATCTTGTCAAGTTTTAAATATGTATATTAAAATAATAACTTTTTTAATTAAAGTATCGTGTATTTAATGCTTAAATTATTTAATATTTTTTTTTTATATAATGAAAATATTAACTTATACATAAGAACTTGTTAGTAGATTTTTAACTATAAGTAGACAGTTATATCAATGGGTGCTTTTGTAATTATCGCATTTTTCTATATATTACGACGATTTAGTAGAAGAGAAAAATGCTTGTAATATTAAGGAAATGCTTTTAATTTTCCGTGACTGTGCCCTGTCTGCACACAGATTCACGATTTGTGGATGTGAATGGAAATTTAAAAGCGTCCCTTTATTGTTGCATTGCACTTTTCTCTCATAACGATAAAATCGTACGATATTAGAATGCGCTACAGTAATTTATAAAGGTTTTTTTTTATAATAAACCCTGCTAAATATGATCTGTTATTAGATATCTTACTGCTTATAAAGCAAAAACCATATTTAAAAATAAAATATGCTTAGCGTAAAAATACAAGTAATATTAACCCTAGCGTACACAATTTAAAAAAAATCTAAATAAACGGTAAACAGACTCTGATAGTCAGAGTTGAAGGTTTCATTGAGCAATGTGTCAACTTAGCTATATATGACTTAATATCAAAATCACATTTGGAATACTGCCATATGGAGACAATTTTTCATTTATTTTAATTTACTATTTTATAAATGGCGCAATAAAGTGTACATAATAAAAATAATAATATAAAATGTTAAATTATTAGATAAATAATATAAATTCTAACTTTATGTTTTAATATTTACATGGGCTTTTTTTCTATTTCTATATTACTCTCTATTCTAATACTATTATAAATGTCGAAAATAAATTATTTAAAATTATTATTAACTACTAACTTCTATAAAAAATCACTTAATAATACCTACACTGTTGCTAGTTTTTTGAACTTACTGTTATCGAGTAGTATATATATTATATATACCCTCGATTCTGTTTTAGTATCTTTGGTAATTTATTATACGAAAAGGCATTAGGCTCGGAGATAAAAAGTACTTATTTTTAGTTAACCGAGTACAATGGCTGTCTGTGCGTGACATTATAAACTGTTATTTTTCTTTAATAAAACTCGATCTTTACTTGTATATTTTTATTTCTATTTCAATTCTTAACAAAGAACATTTTTCTTTCTTGCCATAAACAATATTTATTCTCTTATTACAAAACATAGACATAAAGTGATGTCAGTACACTAAACATATAAATACAAATGTACTCGTACACTGTCAATATTAAAAACCGTAAATTAGTTACAAATATCAAAATATTTTCACATTTTTTCAAAAAAGTTGTAAATATTATATGTAAAGTAGCCGCCTGCCTTGGCACTGCTCGGGTACAAGTTATTCACATTTTCATACAATTTTTCAAATATTTTCTTACAAACAAATCTCGTTCTGACAATTATAAACACATCAATAAAAAAATTAACTAAATATTTGCAGCCATTCTGAAGTGATGCGCTTCCATACATTCAGCATTTGATTTTTATTTACATAGATAGATTTGTAAATCGGTAGATATTGTTTATATGTTTTCCATAAGTACAATAAAGCATTAATCGATTCAGATTTGTGAGTATTCGCTTCTCCTTTGCATTATATATATTTTCATAGGCTATACAGAGTCATAAAATTGGCAATTCGCCTAAAAGGGGCTCGTAAAATAACGATACGGAGATGACATAACGTTTTTACCTATATCTTTGACAACATCTTGTTTTGGTCAGATTACCACAGGCATTGTCATAATTTTTTTTGTTGATAGTCATAAATTGTGCTAGGTATAAATATTATCTAATGTGGTATTTAAATATAAGCAACTGTACTGGCTTCGTATTAGTATCCTTTTAATCTCTTCGTAATATTATTTCTATTAAAAATAATCCTTATTGATAATATTTATTTATTTAAATTTCAATCTAAAATTATATAAGTAAGTATACATATAAAAGATTTAATACCTAATGGTGTCCTCTACCAGTCAACTATGAAGCAAATGGAAATTTAAGTTGGCGGTGCATTTATCACTAAAATGAGTACATCTAAATTCTTCTTTAAATTACAAGGTATAAAAATGCAAAAAGTAAGAAAAATGTCGCGGTGTGAGTGAATAACCTTATGCTGAATATTGTTGATATCTTCTACTAGTCCAAGTAAATATTTCAATTTAAAATACTAATTCTATCCGTGCGAAGCCGGGGCGGATCGATAGTTGGTAATATTATAAATAGAATGCAGAAAATTTGCGGCAATTCATTCCACTCCAAACAAAGTTTCCTTATTAGAAATTAGTTTTCCACTATCCGCGATGCCTTTGGGCATGCGTTTCTTACCCCTTGAATAAATTTAACTAAAACTGACTTCCAAATTGGTACTACCACGAAAGTATGTTAAATCAGTTTAATAGCCTCGGCCCAATTTCGTCTGGCAGTAGGTAATTGTTTCACTTATTTATTCAATCTAATTTTGTTCGTTTTATCTACGAATATCTAGTTCTGTTCTGTAGCAATGTATTTGTAACAGTTGTATTTTTATGATGTATTTTTATTTATTCTAACATTATAAATGTAAACGTGAGTTTGTTTGTTTATTATTGTTTTAATGCCTTAACGGCTTAATTAATCACTATGAAAATTGGTAAACGTATTATACGGACTGGAGAAGGATATAGGCTACATTTTATCCCGGTCAGGGAACATTTACTGGTCACGCGATCGAAGTCGCAGGTAACTGATAGTCTTATTTAAATAAAGCTGCAGAGAGGTCGAGCTTACCGGGTATACATACACCATACATAATAATGTATGTATGTTAGCAATGTATGTGTATGTTAGCAATAAGGCGGTTGGTTCCTATTACTGGGGGAGGTAGAGATTGTATTGGACACTAGAGACTCCTTATTGGTGCATTATATATTCCAGAAGTTTCTAAACTTCTAGAATAACGGAATACCTAACAAATACACTTTATTTTATAGAACCCCATATCAAATATATACAAATCAAAGGCACCGATATTTGAATAAGAACAAAAACTTTTTTTAACAAATATTTTAAAAGTAAATTCTATACTAAAAGTAAACCTATAAAAGTTAAGAGTTATTCTCAACATATTTTGTGCTAATTTAAAATAATATTTGTACTTAATTGTGGTATTATTTAACATCCAAAATAATGTATTTTTTACAACACAGATGGCAAATGAGCATGCGACTCGTTTGCCTTCTGTGTTCGCTCTCTCTCTCTCTCTCTCTCTCTAGTGAATTTTCTATGGAATCTTTAGGTTTCATGATCCACTTCACACACAAATCCACTTTAGAAATCGCCCATATAGTCTGTCCCATTGTGATTAGTTCTTAATAAATATGTCATGATTGACTAACTGTTTCGACTTTATTTACTCTAAATATAATATAATACTTAAGCCTCTTGTGTCAGGTAAATATTGTATTTATTATTTCTCTACCAGAGGGAGACTTTGTACAAAGGTCGATTGCTTGGGTACCTCTGTCCCATTCGTGTTTCAACCGTGAAGCAGTTGTGTTTGCATGGCTGTGTTTCGGTTTGAAGAGTGGGATATGGCGTGAATTTACTGGGTACAGAGGAATAACACCTGAGTCCTCAGGAATGGCAGCGCATGGGGGCTATCATGGGCGAAACAGTATACTCTGTTATGTCCATGGTACTGCTCATGTCTATAGGCGACGGTTACCACTTTCCATCAGGTGGGCTGTCAGCTTGTTTGCCATTCTAAGTTGTATAAAAAAAAAAAAAAAAAAAAAAAAAACCTCGGATCCTTCAAACGTAGCGTCAAAAGCAAGGGGTATCCTGGCACAGTGCGGTGACAATAGAGAGTAGAATATTCTCTTTTCGGTTGCCCGCATTCGTGGAACATACTTATATTGTCCCTGTGTTTGCTTACGATGTGTAGTCACTATAATTCAAGGTCACATGTTATGCTATTAAAAAAAATTTGATATACAAATTGGTGCTGCACAGGTATGACCAGACTATTACCAAAAATAAAAGATGAGAAATCCAAAGATAAAAACAGGACATAATTTAGATAAAAATAAATGAATGTCGTTTGCTCTTCTAGTTCAGCAAATGATATTCGACTGGGTTTAAATTAGATGCTGAAGCTAAATTGAATCACATAAATTTAATTGATATTCAAATAACGTAATAATTATTATCCGAAAGTCCAAAATGTAGGGTTCTTAGTCAATTTTTTATTCAAATTATGTGTAGGTTCTTGTACTTGGTGATATATAAGAATAATACCTATGCCCAATTTTGCCAAATATATATAAAACAATATTTTTTTTATTTCTAAAATTTTTATTTAATGACCGATAAAGCATTTTTAATATAATAAAAGATCATCAACAACCAATGTGTAGGGGGGGGGGGGGGTGGGTTAATACAAGTAATTTTAGAACAAACTAATTTTGAGACGGATAACTGGGATCTCTTATACGGTTAACATTACCTTCAGAGTTTACGAAAACAATTTCCAACCTCTCTCGACTCGACGGGAAGTCGGAAAATATCACCTTTATTAAACACCTGTTTACCTCAATGCGAGCTTTATATACGATATTACTTTTTTAACGCCATTTCGAAGTATCGTAGATTTATCAAGAATGTAATCATATTTGCTTCGATCATGTTATAAATAAATATATATTGTATGGATCTCGTATGGTTTACTTATATGTTACGAATCTAATAGACCGTTTGTTTATTGTAAAAACATCACGTTATAACTTTTGTAAACTAATTGTTTGCTTTTTAACCTCTGTATCACTCATATGTGATCTCTCTGTATTACTCATATTTGCTTTAAAGGATAGTCAAAACTTCAAAAATGTAACCGTATGATTGGTACCGTGGGCGTCACAGCGTATAATGTGATGCCTATGTTTATGAGCAATGGTTACCACCTAACATCAGGTGTGCTATCAGCTTGTTTATTAATTCGATGTCAATAAAAAAAGACATTAAAATAGAATAAACAAAATAAGTATCTCCTCCTTTTAAAGTTAATTAAAAATCTCTAAAATATCTGTTTTCTAGTACAACGTTTTTTCTGCTAAGTAGGTGATACATTTTAACGATGCCAATATTTTTACATCTTTAGGTATCTAGATAATGATCAAAGGTATGCGTCCTTTCTGTTTGGTTTAATAACGTATTCAGAGTCTAACCTAATTCTATTTGAAATGGGTTATCCAAAATATTTCAAGATCCGCAAACATCTCTAAGGTCCGAATTAAATGAAAACAATCACGAAGTAAATAATATTATTATGTGATCTAAAGTAAAAATAAATTGAATTGGGTGAAATAATTGAAGGCGGTTACAGCGTTAGCAATACCTATTACTAACGCCTTATTACATAAATCATTCCTCTTAACAGGAGGAGAAGTAGGCACACAAACAGGATTTTATATATATGAGTAGAGCCATATTTTACTTTTTTTTTTAAACAACTTAGAATGGCAAACAAGCTGATGGCCCACCTGATGGAAAGTGGTAACCGTCGCCTATAGACATGAGCAGTACCATGGACATAACAGAGTATACTGTTTCGCCCATAATACCCCCCATGCGTTACCATTCCTGAGTCAGGTGTTATTCCTCTGTACCCTGTAAATTCACGCCATATCCCACCCTTCAAACCGAAACACAGCCATGTAAATACAACTGCTTCATATATATATATATATATATATATATATATATATATATATATATATATATATATATATATATATATATATATATATATATACCTATTACGTATATGTACTAAGCTTAGCTTAGTTTATAGTTTTCTTGTATATATTCTGTGATCGAGTGTACAAATATTGTTTCTTCTGGGTCGATATCGTGCTCTTGACAACCCTAGTGTTGCCGCCTTCGTGGTATAAAGAAAAAGTCTATTAGACTTATTTATTACTATTTCTATATTAATAATGACACTTTTCATAATAAATATTTATTTAAAATAAAATACTATACTATACTTATATCAAAATTTATATAAGTAGGAACCTTTGCACGTAGTAATTATTTTTCTCACGTTACAAATCCGCAGCTCTTGTCAAATTAAAAACTTTATGGACTTAGTTTTGATGTTTGTTGGCAGGTTCTTCATGGGCTGTACGTGGGTAACTATAGGGACTCAAAGGACCCGGTACAGCTTGAAAAGTACAAAATCACACACATACTGTCCATACACGACGCAGCTAGACGATTGCACGCTGTAAGTATTTACACTAATACATACCACAAAATCATAATATTATATAATAATAGTTATAAAATCTATATGTAGTAAATATATACATACATATGTATATATATTATGCTAATATTTAGAAATTTTGAATATCATGGTAATGATTGTCATTAAAATGTAATTCATGTATTTTCTTTTCGTATAAATTAAACAAAACAAGTGTTTTTTTTTACGCCTAGATTGCCCCTTATCCCAGATTTTGAACAGGTGCCCATATTAATTATTTAATAATGAATAATAAATCCCATAGACAAGTGCAAGAGAAAAAAACTCGAATTAAATTTATACCGAACTGTCTGGCCAGTAATAGTAGACTAATGTTTTCCTCTAATGTATAAATTGCCATTTATTTTGAAAAAATGTAATTTCTAAAATCTTGCAAAAATCTTCGAAAAAAGGTTTAACAATGGGTTTACTTCATGTAAATGATTATCCTAATCGTCCAAATAACTAGAAACAAACCTCGCGTCCTAGCCTGCGGCCGGAGCCGCTTTCCCTCATTCCCGAGGGAATTCTCAAAACCCTTTCTTGAATAATTTACATAGAGAATCTCTACAAAGTTTAAGTTTAGTAGTATTTAAAAGCAAAACATTAATATTAAGCACAATATCATATTCATTTATTCAAACGATGCCAGACTTACACCTGTTGCGAAACTGTTTATGGGTAGTCGATAAAAACAAATATTGAACCCTCAAATATTCAAGGCATATTTTGTGTATTTGCAAGTTAAAATAATCACTATTATCATAATAATACACGTTCACTAGACATTGGTCTCTCTCCCGTAAATAACAAAATAACAGAGAAATAATCCCTATAATAAATATCCCTGTACATATCAGGCAGCGTCATCTAGTTTTAAACTAAGCAAAGCTTGTTCAAGTTAGAAGGAGGATAATAACCTATTTTTAGTTCTTTGCAACCAGATGTTAGATGTAGAATATTATTTATAAATTTTCTTTTCTCGAATTAGTATATTGTGCTTTATTTATCTAGACACAGAATTAAAAATAATAATATTTACCTCTTACGACATTATGCGCTTGAAAAGTATAATATAGTAGTAAATACCTGTAACATTCAATTAAAATAAAATAATATAATTAAATTGTTATGTAGTAACAATAGTTCTACAGTGTTATTAACAAAAATCTATAATATACTGTGAAAAAGTTATTAGACAGGGACTTTATTCCGAATTAGGTACGTTGTTGTTATTCGACTTGCCTTATCGGATTTCGCCGGAATCCTATCTTATTCTGGTTGGATAAACTTCATATTCTTGAATAATACTCTTGGTATTTTTTGAGTTAAGACGGCTGTTTATGTCTTTTCCGAGAATAATGAAACCTTCCATTCGTCTTGTAAGCAGGTATATTATGTCTCTCATCTTTTTATTTCAATGAAATGAATAGATTGTTGTATTGAGTGTTTTATGTATTTATTTTATATTATATTTATTTATTTATTTTATAGAGTGTTTTATTTTATTAACATTATAATAGATGACTGTATACTGCAATGACAGTTGCCACTTGTGCAATACAGTGATGCGAGTTGAGAAACTAAAAATTTTATAAGAAATATCAAATTTATTTTCGTAAGCAATTAGTTATTTATATATATATATATATATATATATATATCTTCAATCCATATAAGGCGTGTATACTAAATTTCATAGTGATTGGTTAAGTTGTTCAGGTGCTATAAGTTAATAAATATACAAACTCACTTTTACATTTATAATATTAGTAAGAGCAGTAAATATCAGCAGATATGTCAATAAAATTAATAGTATTATATTTATTCTGAATCCAAGCAACCAATAAGCAACGCGTTTGTTTTACAAGAAATCAGAAATAAAATTTCCGTCTCGTAAATATAAATTTATTCCTTACTATTTTTTTTATATTTGTATATTGACTTTCTGCCTATATTGGGGAGAGAATGTAAACACTGTCCAAGCAGACTTTTATAAGATAGTATAAAAAAACTATCTTCAATTAGTCACTTTCTATTAGACTTCCCTCAGGGTCAACATCATGTCTTTAATATTTATTGATCATATTTAGGAAATAAGAAAATGTCACTGTTAATAATTATGTTGGTAGCTCATTTAATGCTCATGTCGTAGACAGTTTTGCTACGTCATGTTAACCATTAACAAAAATTACATCTTTATACAGTCAACAAACGATCGATAGCTACCTGATTTATACTAACTGTGAGTGAGCACTTTTGCAATTCAATTTTCATCATCATCATCATATCAGCCGTTAACTGTCCGTTGCTGAATAGTAGGGCTCTCCCATAAGGGACGGTTTTGCCAATAGGTGCCACGCCTGGCAGGCGAAACCGCAACCGCATTTAGTCTTTTGGTGATGTTTTAATAGGGAAGCTGCTGTCTATCCCTCGATCATTATGTTCGTTTAGTCGCCTCTTACGCGAGTGTCCCGCGGGAAAGCAAAGGATGACCCATTCTTTGCCGAGTCGAGTTATTTAGTTTTGTCGTAACAAAATAAGGCAAGACACAATTTTATCATCTTGATTTAAAAATAAGTAAACAGTGGAGCTACAGTATGAGTAATATAAATCAAAACAATAATTTTTAGAATTTTTGCCTGTCTGTATGTTTAATCTGGTATCATGTAAAAAGTACTGCACTAAAACCAGTTTTCGCAGATATGTTTCTCAAGGTGGAACTCAAAATCTGACATATACTTTATTTTGGTATTTTATCTAAAAGTGGCCTATTTTATGGGTTTTCCTACTACTAAAATTAACACATAAAAAATTGCGGGTAAAATCTAGGACTGACACACATTTTCGCTGTGTGTGTGTGCAGAACCTTATTATGAGTACTTTATTATCTAACCACTAGTTAGTAAGTACGTAACCTACAAACAGTAACTACCACTCTAGTAACTAATCTGGGTCACCTAATAGCTTTCTATATGGCTCTGCAATTGACGTACGTAATTACGTGTTTTAAATATAATCCGTCCACTGCGACCCCTCTAAAATTACTAATTCAAAAACCAATAATCAGCCGTAACTGGCAATTTTGTCCGTGATTTTTTTGTTTATAATTTTTTTCTTAATTTTATAATTTACGAACAACCTGACTGCCCACTGGACGGAAAGTGATAATCATCGTTTACATATCATAGACATCACAGTATATACAGTGACGCATACGGTACACGATATGGGTCGAGATTCGCATATCGAAACAAGCTCGGCTACTTGGCGGCAACACAGTGGAAATATTCATGCAGATGACATTTGTTCCTTTTCCCTCTGGTCTCTTAGAACCCTCCTACTACATACATACGTCTAAAGTACACAATGGATTTTGATACGGTTTTCGCTGACAAGATTTGACACCCTTAGCAAACAATACAAACGACCTCGTTTGTATAGGATTGATAGAAATTGAATATATCGTATATCTTGAATGTCCTCGATCAAATTTCGCAAACGTTCATAATATGCATAAGGAAGCTACTTCGATCTACCGATTAACTTTGACACGGTTATTACATCGAAATAGGTCTTGGAGACTGTATTATTCATAACATTAGTTGGAACTGAAGCTCAGCCGTTGTAGGAACTTAACTAATTGTATTAAACATAATTGAGTCAACATCTTCACGCCCTTGTCGGGTCCTTAACTAGTTTGTTAACATACCTTTAATATGATTAATAATAACTGGAGGGAAGCTTACGCAAACTTCTGCGAAGGTAAAACCGCGCGTACCACTTGAAAGTATATCTACAAAGTGATTTTTAAATTTTTAACGACGGGAATCGTTTTTTTTTTATTTTATTTCCCCACCTATCATTACAGACTAAAATGAAATTTGTTTACGCAATAACATAATTGTACTGCCATTGTCATAAGTTAGTAGAAAGCTTTTCTATAGATGTATAACTTCACAGTACACCTAAAACGTATTACTATGTATTTATAAGCCTCAATATTTATACTTATTTTATATTTACAGTCGAACGACGGTTCAGCGGTTAAATTTTAAGGTCACTGAACACTCATTAAATTCTTTTTATTTTAGGGAACCTGGTACTAAATAAAAAACGAAATAAAAATAATGTATGCTCACGACTATAAATCGTATTATAGTCAATATGGTAGGGGGCGGGCCTACCGCCATATCTTGGATTATTAAAATTTAGATGAACATACAAAGTTTTTGGTGTCAGTCAGATCTTTAACCTTTATGATCGTGGTAGTTAACCCACTGTACTAAGAGTGTTTCGTACTAAATATTAATAGATCCTTACCAATATTAGGTATAACAATGAAAGTGAGTGTATTTGTTACCTCTTGTTATTATCGTGCTATTTGACATAGTTTTAATATGGAGTATGGAAGACGTAAGTTAAATACTGTTTATCTAAGGAATTCAATATTTTTCGGTGCAAATGAAGTCGCAGGCATAACTACTATTAATATAACCAGTACAGAAAATTACATGTTACATTATTCTTAAAAATATTATCATAATTATATTATCAATAATATATTATATAATAATTTATTTTATTTTATAAATATATAATAGTAATATATAATTTATTTATTTTATTTATTATACAATAATTATATTATAAATATTATCATTATTATATTATCATATTATAATATTTATTTTAGATTTACGGCCAAGCGGCAGTTCAACTGTTCCTTTTTTAGGACATTGAAATTCATTAAACTCATTTTAATTTCGGGAAACCCATAGTAAATAATAATGAATGGATGTAAATTTGTATGTTGACTATTTGCCTTTTGTTTGCTTATTCAAATCACGTAGATAAAGTCGTAAGCATAGCTATAAGGATACTGAAATAAATTTAAGGTTATTTATAAGTATAGACTCCGCAGATAATCGACAGTGTTTATTTTAGCGGTAATATAAAAAGCCCTAAACCCTAAAATT